TTCACTTTTTTGGGAGCATTTTAGAAGAATTGGTGTTAGTCTTTTTTTTTTTAAGATTTTATTTATTTATTTGACAGACAGAGATCACAAGTAGGCAGAGAGGCAGGCAGAGAGGGAGGGGGAAGCAGGCTCCCTGCTGAGCAGAGAGCCCAATGCGGGGCTCGATCCCAGGACCCCAGGATCATGACCTGAGCCGAAGGCAGAGGCTTTAACCCACTGAGCCACCCAGGCGCCTCGGTGTTAGTCTTTTTTTATGAGTCTTCCAACTCCTGGTTAAATCTCCATATGTGTCCTGCCGGACAAAGGCTTCCCCTGACAGGCCTCGTGAGAGATGGGTGCCTCCCTTACCCCAGACATTGCACAGCCAGCGAAGTGCAGTCTCTGAAGGGAGCTGCAGTCCAAAACGCACACAGGGCCTCTCTGGCTCATCATCTCTTCACATGTTTGCAGTTCCTAAGCTAGGACCCCTCATTCCATGGTCTCTTTCTCTGAGGCCTTGGGTGGAGGTCCTCCTCACATACCTCTGCTGAGACAATGTGACAGGAGGGTGGAGAGGGAAAACTGGAAGACACGTCTCCCCACTCTGACTCAGTACCCAAAACATGAGATGATGATCTAGGTGACAATAGGTATGTGCCTCCATAAAATGTAAATCTCTGCCAACAAAGAAAAGTTCAGGACCAGATGGCTTCACTGGTGAATTCTACCGCACTTTTGAAGTGTCAGGAGCAAGGTGGAGATACCAGATGTCAAGGGAGCTAACACGGATGGGCCCACATTTTTACCAAGTAAAAGGCCACTGTTTCGGACTGCTTCTCAATTCTCTTTCCCTGATGCTGAAGGCCTGTTGGGCAGGGCTGGCCTGTGCGAGATGCTCTTGGCTGTCTTGTCCAGACACCAGCAGGATCAGTTCAGTATCGCGAGTCAGATCAATGCATTCCCACATCCCCCAATCCAACTCTACCATTTGAAACCTTGGTTGGGCCTCTCTATTCTGGAAGTCCATGCGTATCCTACAGAGAAAGAGTAAGAGGACGTGTCCTTCCCCTCACCTAACAAAAGAAATTGCCTTACCTACCGACCAAACAGAGAACACAGGGAAAGAACTCATGAACTTGAAGATAGAATGATAGAAATTATCCAGTCTCATACTAACTTTAAGTAGCTGTGCAAACACCAAAAAGGATGAACCCAAAGAAATCCAAGACACAATGCAGTGAAATTTTTGAAAACTAAAGACAAAGTAGTGGACAGAAATGATGCCTTACCTTTGTGGCGGGGGGGGGGGTCCATAATTCTCATGCCAGCTAATTTCTCATTAGAAACCATGGAGTCTAGAAAAAAGAGGCACACCATTTTTCCAGTGCTGAAGGAAAAGAACTTCCAGCCCAGACTCCTATATCCAACAAAAATATCCTTCTAGAATGAAGATGAAATCAAGACATTCTCTGATGAGGGGCACCTGGCTGCCTTAGTCAGTGGCGTGTGCAACTCTTGATCTCAGGGTGTGAGTTTGAATCCCACAAATTTCTGTCGGGTGCAGAGATTACTTAAAAATAAAATCTTTAAAAACAAAAAACATTCTCAGATGAAGGAATACTAAAAGATGTCACCGGAAGATTTACCCTAAAGGGATACATAAAGGAAGTTCTTCTCCAATAAGCAAAAAAGAGGAAGTAAAAGGCATATAGCTCAGAAAGGAAAAATAAAACTGTCACTGTTTACAGATGCCATCATGGTCTACCTAGAAAAACCCATCTATAAAACAACTCCTGGAACTAATGAGTGAGCCCATCAGGATAGCAGAATGTAAGACTGATGTACAAAACCCAATTGTATTTAGGTATACCAGCAATGAACATGTGGAAATTGAAGTTAAAATAGAATAGAATTTTAGGTTGCTTCAAATAAATATTTAATTATAAATATAACATAAAATATATAGGATTTGAATGCCTAAAACTACAAAATGCTTATGAAAGGAATCAAAGAAGGTCTAAATAAACAGAAATACAGCATATTCATGGATTAGAAGACCCAACATACCAAAACTGTCAATTCTCCCTTAATTGATATAAAATTCCTATTAAAATTCCAGCAATGGGGTGCCTGGGTATCTCAGTCAGTTAAGTGTCTGCCTTCAGCTCAGGTCGTGATCCTGGGGTCCTGGGATCAAGCTGCAGTCAGGCTCCCTGCTCAGCAGGGAGTCTGCTTGTCCCTCTCCCTCTGCCCCAGCAGATGTTCTGTTGCACGCACACACAATTGCTCTCTCTCCCCCCCAAATAAATAAAGTCTTTTAAAAAAGAAATATTAAAAAATCTCCGGCAAGGTATTTCATAAATATAGACAATATTAATCTAAAATTTATATGGAAAGGCAAAGGAACTAGAATAATAGTTTTTAAGAAGAATAAAGTGAGAGGAATCACCCTACACAATTTTAAGACTACAGTAAGTGAAATTATATGGTATCGGTGTAGGGATAAAAACATAGCTCAGGGAAACAGAATAAGGAACCCAGAAATAACCCCACATAATTTTTGCCAACTGACTTTTCACAAAGGTACAAAAGCAATTCAATGAAGAAAGAACAGTCTTTTCAACAATTTGTGATTGGAACAACAAGATACCCATAGGCAGAAAATGAGCCCGCAAATTAATCTTCATACATTATGCAAAAGTTAACTCAAAATGAATCATAGATATTATGTAAAAAGTGAACCTATAAAATGTGTAGAAGAAATCACAGGCAGGGCCCCTGGGTGGCTCAGTCAGTTACATGTCTATCTTTGGCTCGGGTCATGATCTCAGGGTGTTGGGATGGAACCTCCTGTTGGGTTCGCTGCTCAATGGGGAGTCTGCTGCTCCCTCTACCTCTGCCACTCCCCCGCTTGCTCATTCTCTCTTGCTACCTCTGAAATAAATAAAAATCTTTAAAATAAAAAAATGAATAAATTAAAGGGATGCCTGGGGCACCTGGGTGGCTCAGTGGGTTAAGCCTCTGCCTTCAGCTCAGGTCATGATCTCAGGGTCCTGGGATCGAGCCCTGTATCGGGCTCTCTGCTCGGCGGGGAGCCTGCTTCCTCCTCTCTCTGTCACTGCCTGCCTCTCTGCCTACTTGTGATCTCTGTCAAATAAATAAATAAAATCTTTAAAAAAATAAATAAATAAAGGGACGCCTAAGTGGCTCCATTGGAAACAATCTGCCTTCAGCTCCAGTCATGATCCCAGGGCCCTAGGATTCAGTCCCATGTAGGGCTCCTTGCTCACATGGGAGTCTGCTTTTCCCTCTCCTCTGCCACTCCCCCTGCTTGTGCTCTCCCTCTCTGACAAATAAATAAATAATATATTTTTAGAATTAATTAATTAATTAAAAGAAAAAGAAATAATAGGAGAGAATCTTCAGGACCCAGTGCTTGCTACAGAGTTCCTGGACATGATACCAAGAGCGTGATCCATGAGAGACAAAAAAAAAAAAAAAAAAATCAATAAACTATAGTTCATCAAAAGTAAAAACATGGGTGCCTGGATGGCTCAGTCGTTAAGCGTCTGCCTTCAGCTCAGGTCATGATCCTGGGGTCCTGGGATCGAGCCCTGCATTGGGCTCCCTGCTCAGTGGTAAGCCTGCTTCTCCCTCTCCCCCACTGCTTGTGTTCCCTGTCTCACTGTATCTCTGTCAAATAAATAAAATCTTAAGAAAAAAAGTAAAAACTTTTGCTCTTCAAAAGACCTTATTAAAGGATAAAAAGACAGGCTACACCCCAAGAGAAATATTTGAAAACCACACACCTCACAAAGGACTCCTATCTAGAATCTATAAAGAATTCTTGAAACCTGACAATGAAAAAACAAACAATCCAAATAGAAAACAGGCAGAAGATATGAAGAGTTATTTTGCCAAGGAGGATGTGTGGGTGGTGAAGGAGCTCAGGAAAAGATTTTCAACAGCACTAGCCCACAATGAGATATCCTATTAAGAGAGCTAAGAAAAAAACATTTTAAATGAAAATTCCAAATGCTGGTAAGAATGCAGAGAACTGGATCCTTCATACATTCTGTCAGAATGGAAAATGATATGGTCACTGTGGGAAATAGTTGGGCAGTTAAAAACATAAGCACATACTAACCATATAACCTATACGCCACTCCTGGGCATCTATCCCATGGAAATGAAAATGAATGTCCACACAAAAGTCTGTGCACAGCTCTTCATAGCACCTTGATCTATAATAGGTCCCAAACCGAAAATTCTAGGAAACATCCTAGAATAGATGCAAGGGTAAACCAACTGTGGCATGCCCATGCCGCAGGATATCATCCCCCAATAAAAAGGAATGAACCATAGATAAGCTGAACAATGGATGGATGTCAGGGCATTATGATGAGTGAAAGAAAAAAAAAAGGCAATCTCAAAATGTCACCTACTATATCATTCCATGATATGACATTCTTGAAGTGACCAAATCATAAAGAAGAAAACAAGTGACCAGAGGCTAGGGATGTTTGGCGAGGAGAAGAAAGGGGAACAGGTGTGATTCTGAATAGTATGAGGGCGGCATTTGTGATGATAAAGTAGTTCTGCATCTTGACTGAGGTCGTGGTTCCATGATTTACTCACGTGGTGAAATGATGCAGAACTGACAGATATTGTCTCACTGTCAGTCATATTTGCTGTGGTACGATCATTCAGTAAGGTACAATCTCCGGAAGAAACTGGGGGAAAGGCATGCCGGACCTCTGTACTCTCTTTGCAAATATTAGCCAATCTATAATTATTTCCAAGTAATAAGTGCAGAAAAACACTTGGTTGAACAAATATCATCCCTTCTTAGGTGGTCTTCATTTCTTGCAAAATCTACAGACTAAAGTCCTGAAGAGAATAACAGATATTGGGAAGGAAAGAACAGTGGGGGGTAGTACTTGACCAGTCAAAGTGATGGCTTCATTTCCGTTACACTGAGCGCTCCTAAAATTGCAAATAATTGTCGTCTATGTTTTCAGTGACAAATCCGAAGGGAATCTCCTTGAAGAGAGCCTGGTTCAGCTGAGATGTCACTTCACGTGGGAGTTGCTAGTGGAAGCCACCGAGCTGCCCGATTTAGAAAACAGGATCTTGGATGAGATTGATTTCCTGGACACCAGATACAACGCGGGGATCCACAACCTGCTGGCCTACGTGAAACACCTCAAGGGCCAGAACCAGGAAGCCCTGGGGAGCCTGCGGGAAGCAGAAGCCTTGATCCGGCAGGAACAGGCCGCCCAGTCAGAGGCGAGAAGTCTGGTCACCTGGGGCAACTACGCCTGGCTGCATCACCGCATGGGCAGGCCGCAGGAAGCCCAGGCTTACCTGGACAAGGTGGAGGACGCCTGCAAGAAGCTCGGGGCTTCCTCCCGCTACAGCGTGCAGTGTCCCCAGATGGACTGCGAGGAGGGGTGGGCCTTGCTGAAATGTGGAGGGAAGAACTATGAACGGGCCAAGGCCTGCTTTGAGAAGGCTCTGGCAGTGGACCCAGAAAACCCTGAATTCAGCACCGGGTATGCGATCTCCACCTACCGCCTGGACGGCTTTAACAAAACAACACAGGTTAGCGAGGCGTTGTGTCTGCAGCCCCTGAGAGAGGCCATCAGGCTAAACCCAGAAGATGCGTATGTTAAGGCTCTCCTTGGCCTGAAGCTCCAGGACGTAGGGCAAGAAGCTGAAGGAGAAAAGTACATAGAAGAAGCACTAGGGAACACGTCCTCGCAGACCTACGTCTTCCGGTACGCGGCCAAGTTTTACCGAAGAAAAGGCTGTCTGGATAAAGCTCTTCGGCTCCTAAAAATGGCCCTGCGGGCCACCCCGTCCTCTGCCTTCCTGCACCACCAAGTAGGGCTTTGCTACAGGGCACAAATGATCGCAATCAAGAGAGCTGCCAACTGGCAGCCCCGGGGACAGGACAGAGAAAATGT